TAAGGGAACTGGACTCTTGTGTGAAGAGGAGAGAGTGTGCTCTCCACGGACATTGGTTTTCAGTGCTACGAAACTCCATTGGTGTATTATTGGTGCAATGCTGCTATCTGGACATGGTGTGACTATTTGACTTGCAATGTGATGGTGTGATCTGGGATTGTCATCTCGCTGTTGCTTATTATCGGAGCTGGTTCATATTGCACTTCATTGGTTCTTCGCAATAGCTATTGGTGCTTCGCATGAGGTGTGAGGCAGTGATACGGCATTGGCGTTGAACATTAGGCGGCCCAGGGTTGTGTGGGCACGCCGGGGAGCTATGTGGTGACATACGGGATGTATGCTGGATGATGAGAACTCGCTGATGTGACATATTAAGCTGAGGTGGAACCGCATTCTGCTGTTGGTTGTGCCGAAGCAAAGACCGGTCATCATAATTGCACATCAGGTTACCGGTGAGAAATCTGTGGTTGGGGGCAGCATTAATGATGTACGTTGCTCTCTTCCTTATCTACCCTCTTCATCTCTTCTTACCGTGAGGAAGTGAGTTCTGTCTTGAGAGTCCTCTTGATGTGAGGTGTCGCGAGCGCTCAACCTTGAGAGTCGACATTCTTCTTGGGCAGCAAGCTGGTGGGAGACGGGCGTAGCCTCTGAAGGGCCCTGGATGAAGCACTCGGGTCACGGTCACCACGCCAACCCCCTGGGACTAGTACACGCATGTTTGGGCGCAAGTCCTTGGTTCTGCTGCTTGCGCATTAGAGGTCTACCTGGGCATGCCAGCCTTTTATGAGACGCTTACCAGACCGTCTATAAACATTTCTGGTTGGGGACTCGGATCTGAATCTAGCTGTGATCGTCGTCCTGACTGCGACGTTAAATAATTCCTGAAGAGATGGGGGCGCTCTTTAAATTCCTCCTGATCAGCCAGATCAACCGGGTGTAAGGCTCGTTCCGTACGAGGGTAAATAAGAGCGGACTGGGTGGCATGTTCGGCAAAGACTTGGGGCACAGGGGTGGGCCGGATTGCACACCTTCAGACACGCTGCTTAAACCAGATGCTCAGGGACGTTGACAGAAAGTGATTACTCAAGAAGGATACAGGGGGAGGGGGGATTCCGGTAACTGTTCACAGTGGCAATAAACAGACAATCTGCCATCCAGTACACATCTCCAACAGGAGATGTTATTTTTATTTTGATTATCTAGTTGTGACAGACTTCGCTAACAACTGACAGACGGATACAGATAGATTAGATCTTTGCTGTAGTGCAATCTGTTCCAAGGTAATCCAAAAATAGAATTAATATATCCTGTAGGACCTGACATTAGTTGTAACTACATCACCTAACTATTTCTGTTCCAGCCGACCGTAAGTAGTTGTGTATCATATGCGGATGTGGGTCAAGCTAAGGTAGGATTCAGTGTGGATTCTAGTTTAGATCACACACACTGTAGCTCATGAGTGATGCAAGCACAAGTGAGGAGTTACTAGTGGACGACCGTAGGACTACTCGCGGGACTGCCCGCAATCGACCCTTGACATTCTTGGAGTTAGCTCCAGGAGAAGAGAGAAGATTGAGGAGAGAGGCTAGAGAGAGGGCAGCGGCAAGGAGAGCGAGGGCAGCTGAGGACAGTGCTAGGGCTAGAGTTTCAGCTAGCATCAGTACGACCATGACTACCTCATCTATGACGCAACCCTCTACACAGTCCACTTCGTTAGGAGTCAGTCAGAGTGGTACTCAGGGAGTCACTAGTCATATTGGTCATGTGCGAGTCAGCCAGTCTCCACTCACGCCGAAGGACTTAGAAATCCGGCAAGCAGAAGAACTTCAGGATGAGTTACAGCGGCAGATGGACGATGTAGTAGACAGGAGAAGAAAAGCAATGCAAAAAAAAGCTAGACTAGAGAGTAGAATGCAGGAGCTAGGCAGACTGGAAAGACTAGATGAGACAACATTAGACCCTGTTGTCCATGCGCTGCGAGGCGCCTTACTTTCAGTGGCGGAAGCGCAAAGCGTTCAACAGGAACTATTGGCTGATTTGGTCACAGGCCAAAAACAAATTCTGGCTGAACTTCAAGGTCCTCGCACTATGGTGAGGCCTCCACAGTTTGCTGTAGTTCCTCCTGCAGGTGCGGGTCCATCATCGATGCCGCAACGCACAGGGCAAACTTTCTCTCCCATGTTTGGCATACCCTCCCTGGGTGGTTTAGTAGCAACTAGTGGTCCGGTTCATTCAGTCTCAGCCGTACCATCTACAACAGTGGTCACTACAGTACCATTGTCAAGCCAGGCCCAGGTTAGTATGCAACATCCTGTTTCAGTGGCTATGCAGCCGCTGCAGCAAGCACCTGGGCCCATGCAGCCTATGCAGTGGCTGCCCAAGATAGCTTTGATGAGTCCCAAGCCCTTCTCTGGCGATAAGAAGAAGGAGGAAGACTTGGACACTTGGGTGAGAACTGTGCCTACTTATGTGGGGCATAAGCTCACAAGGCCAGAGCAAGAAGTTGTAGTGGCTGCCTCCTTTTTAGAAGGGTCAGCAGCCCGCTGGTTAAATGGCTCAGTGCAGCAACAGGGCTACGGTCAAAACTTCGATGCCTGGGCACAATCTCAGACATTGGAAGAGTTCATACGGTCCGTATACAACAGGTGGCATGACCCACAAGCGGCTCAGAAGGCCACTGACGCTATCAACAGTCTTTGTTCCCGAAGGTTCAAGAATGATAGAGAGTTGACGGACGCCGTAGAACGACTAATCGTGGTACCTGGTGTGCGTTTTGACCAGCAGGTTCTCCTAACGGATTACCTAAGGTGCCTACCGTCAGAGGTAAGGACCAAGCTGGTTGACGAAGCCTATGTTGAACAGCACACCTGTGCTTCTTTTAGTAAGAAAGCTCTGGACATCGAGGCAAAGCTAGGATCTGCGCATCAGGCCCCCAACGATGGTAGGAAGAGACTGCCCCAAGATTGGAAGAAAAAGGGTCAGTTAATGTTTGTTGACCACGATGGTCAAACGACGGAGATTGACGACTACTCAGATCTTGGGGAGTTCACAGAGTACCATGGGGGTAGTGAGACTTCAGATGGTGGAGTCGTAGCACCCATCAAGGAAAAGGCTAGGGGGACCGGGAAGAAGAAGGCAGGACGGTCCACGGGTCAGGGCGACCAAGGAACACCTGCATAGGTGAAGATTGGTTTGGAGTATGAAGTGTGGCGTGACCGCCTTGCTAGGGGTACATGCATGAACTGTGGCCATTATGGTCACACGTCCAGGACTTGCCGCGACAAGAAGGTCACCACGAAGGTAGCCTCACCAACGATGGTGGGTCTATCTTCAAACCCTGGGAGTGCTTCTGCGAGCAGCTCACAGGGAAACACCTCGGGCCAGTAGGAGTGTTAGCCGCTCT